GTTTATTAATACTTATAAAGCACATATTAATGCCTTATTCTGCATAACTCTGCCCAACTACAACAACAACTACTTACTATAAATAAGCAAGTTAGGAGTTTATTGAGGGAAACATTTTAGTTAATAGTGAATTTGTGTTTAGTGTTACTGATTCTTCTATTAGGAGAAATTTCTAAAGATTTTTTTAAAGAGATAATCATTTTAGTTTTAATAGGTTGGATTGCATTAGCTTTAAACATGTCATAATGTTACATTTGCCATAATACCTCTATTTTGGGCTTATTATCAAGCTAGACATTTAAATTGATCCTTTAGAAGAACTAAAGACAGCGATTTAATTTGGAAAAAAATCATTTTTTTACAGTCCACTTGTTTCGAATACAAACGCATTCAATTCATATAATCTTAACTGCTTATGAAAAAGATTCTGTGTAAATATATTTGTCATTACCATTACAAATACTGCATAGAATTAAGCATTTCCAGTTGTTGTTGTTGTTGTTTTACCATTAAAAACACTGTAACCTTCTTTTTGGAATCAGGAATCATTTGGCAAGTCATAAAAAGAGGGGTGCAGATACAGTGAAATTCATCAATAAGCTTTAAGAAAAAAATTACTTTCATTACACTACTGTAAAAAGATCTTGCAGTAGATGAAAAACACTAGAAAAGAAAAGCTCAAATGGAAAATAATTTAATATAAACACAATTCAGTAGGCTATAAAATGTAAATCACTGTACAGTAGAAAAGTACAGTAAAGTCGAAAACCACAAATTCTATTTTAGAATTGTGAATTAACTACAAACAAATAGATATCTGCAATTTGATCCTGTTGTATTTATATTTGGTTCGATACCAGCTGAGAAACGCTCCCAAACTCCTCTAAAACCAGCCAACATATCAGCCTAAAACCAGCAAGATCAGAGAAACACCGTATGCTGGATTATGAATTCTATCAGGAATGGTAAACAAAAATAGTGTTCATGTTTACAATTTTTAGTATATTGTGATATGTATGTTTTAATTGGACTTTTAATGGCTCAAATATCGGCGTTTTCGGTCGTTTTATCTTCGTGTATGTAATACTCTATATAATAATTCAAGCACATCTGAACACGAAATACTCCTGTCAATCATTTTCAATCAATTTGTCTCAAGACGATTTTTGAATTGCGTGCTCTGAGTTTTGTCCCTACGTGGCATCCGTATCAACTTGGTTAATCCAAGATGGCGGCCACCACCGTTGGAAACGTGAGTTATTCTAAATAAATTCGTCCTTAATTGAACCTAAACATAGATGTGTTGTGACGTAACTGATAGATTATAGTGTTTTTATCATGTTCCATGTCGTGGAATTGTTTATTATTTCGCGGATAAATGACAAAATATGATGAAACTGTCCATTGGCTAACCTGCTGGTCTTTATGATCTATATTCTCTGCGAAACACTTAACTAATGTAGTTGTATTTTGCAGGATCTTATAGACAATGATCTTCCCACTGCTGTGCGTCTACTCAACAGTCTCACAGAACAGGTCTGTAATATCACAGAACCTGAATATTCTGCTTTAGATGTTTTTATACGGTCTTACTTTGAGTTCAGCATCACAATTGGTCATAAAGATATGAGAAGATGTGATGGTGATTGACGCTGTCTTATTTTCAGGTTGCTTCAGTAACAAGTCATGTCCGGGACCTGATAAAGAAAGTCAGAGAGAAAGCTTATCAGACCTCAAAGGTAGAAGTATTTTTATGATATTGATTACATATTAAACACCTTCACAATCTTCTAGAAATGTTTGATATCTCCTTTCTTTTTCGCTCTAGGGTTTGTCTTTTTTGGACTTGAGATATCATCTATTACTGTTTTACCTTCAAGACATCACTCATTTGATCAGTTTAAAGACAGAAGGGGAAAGTCTGAAGGACAACAGCGCCATCCACAGGCTAGTCACCATAAGGACGGTACGACACAAACCTCATAAAGCACATAACACTC